TGTGGGGTTAAGGAGTGGAGGGACCAACGCCGAAGTGAAGCATATTTATGGGCGCAACATAAGAGAAATTCCGAACTATGAGCCAGTACAGTCACAGCCAAAATACTGATGTTAGGTCGAGGCTGTTCAGCTGCCCGCTGAGATAGGTATTTAATTACGTTCTTCAAAGGCAATTCTAAAGTGGGGCTGATGAGAGTCGCTTCTTGGAAACATGCTTATTGATGAAAGCCTTCGAAACAGGTACATCCTGAAAAAAGTTGGTTGGCAAGAGAGTTTTCTTAAATATTTGAAAAAATGCTTATAACATAAAGTATTATATGTACTAGAAATATATATTTATCCTAAATGATTTTTTATATCCATAATTTGTATTTATTTCAAATAGCCTTACCTTAGCATTTCATTAAAATGATATATATATTTTTTACCTTACTTTATATGTTTAAGTTTCGAATAATAGGTTGAAATCATATGTTTAATAAGTATTAAAGATGTATCAACCATTATAAAGGACTATTCCGTTAATTCTATTTTTAAAAACTACCTTTCACCTTACTTTTATTATAATCATATCTCAAGAAGTCAGTTTTTAGCACTCTACTTACTATAAAACCACTGTACCGAACTGTAAAACTATGATTCAGCAGCTATCTCGGTTCCGGGTTAAACCCTTGGTAGGAATCGCAGTCCGACTCGGTTAACACTCGCCGGGTGTTTGTTTTTGTGATGGACTGCCTGCCTTTACTGCCCTCCGGCCAGGATTCGAGGTGAGGCTGGCGGGCAGCTTTGCATGTTTTATACTTCTGACCTTAATACCTGCGGACCAACTCACGAGCATGAGCATAAAGCATATAGCAGGGAGTATGGACTATGGAGATGGAGTATGGAGTATGGAACATGGAGTTCCGGACACGGACACCGACAGGAGTTGAGCGTGTGAAGCTGTTTTTGTCTTTGGGGCTGCTGGCGCTAAGCTCAAAAGCAAACACAGGTGTTCACGGGTGGAAAAGTGCTTCCAGGAGCAGGAAAATGTGCTGCATTTATACGGCAGTTGGTCAGTCAAAGTGGCAACTACTTCGATTCATTTACACATGTTATTAACAAAATATAAGCCTTTTTTAAATAAACTTGAATGAAAAATCTCTGCTTTTAAGCTCACCTATGATATTTATTTTGAAAATAAGCCTTTCATATTTATTTAAATAACTTTATTGAATGTCTGCTAGGATCTTAAAATCGATTAAAGGGGTCCCTCACAGAGAAAGTGGCCTCGAGCCCCCAACAAACATGGCCGGCAAAGAGCAGCTCGCATTGAAAGCGCCCCGCAAACACGATGAATTATGGATATTCTAATTTGGATCTTATCGCACTCATTAACACCTTAAGGCCCACAAGCAGCTCTTTAGAATTTTCCCGCTGAGACGGATGCCTTTCACACATGGTTTGCTTGGCCATAAGTTGATAAAGGTTATCTCATGGGAAGTGGAGCAAAGGGGTAAATTTTAAACGGAGCTCAGTGTGTCAAGGGTGTGGATTGCAAAGTGGGTGGGGAAAAAGGCGCCATCGGCAATGGATTGGATGGACCACCATGGCCCATATGGCCAATCGACAATTGTCAATTGGCAATTACCAATTGCCGTTCATCAGTTTTCGGCTTAAATTGAAAGCCTTACAATTGCAGCTCAGGCATGTAATGAAATAATGAAACAAAGTGCAACACGGAAAGCTCCACAAAGGATATGAACAGTGGGTGGGAGGATGCGGTGGGGAAGGGGGAGGAGGAGGGGGAGGGGCAGGCAAAGGACACTTGTGCAGCTTCAGCAAAATTTTTAATTAAAATCTTTGTGCTTTCACTGTGCGTGCTTAATTAATTGTGCTTTAGCTGGCAGCGGCAGAAAGGATTCCCACTCTCAAACACGGAAAGGCATATTACCGCCTTTAGACAGTTCTGGACAGAAATGGTTAATTTCCATTCGGACCTGCAATTAATGAAGGCCTTTGAAGGACACTCGTTGCTGTGTTTTCATTAAAATATATCTTTAAAAGCAGCCAATTAAGTGATCTTTTTAATAAGTAATTAAATGGAAATATCATATAAGAAACCTTAAGTCTTAAGAGGGAAAACGAATTTATTAATTTTTGATTGTTGTTTTGAAACAGGTATAAGAAATTTATTAATTAGAAAAAGAACAGCTAAAATACCCAGCCCCAATTTGAATACAAAAATCGTCAAGGCGCAGAAAATTCTGAACTCAAAACTTGAAGTTTTTCCACCGCATCCCATTTTCCCTTTTATTTTTATTTCCATCCTCCCACACACACACATGCTCAGGGGCGAAGTGCTTTCAGCACAAAACAAGTGTAAATCAAATAAAACCTAATAAAATATATAAAGGGGCGAACGCAGGTTGCCACACGCCCATCCACACGCCCACCTCCCCACAGTTTTCCATCCACCCGCCTACGCACACACACTTACAATGGCCCAGATGGGCATGGCAAACAAAAAAAAAAGGGAAAACGAAACCTAAATGGCAAACGAATTGAAGTCAGCAATTTTATGTTTTATTGCAATTCTTGCCTTTCACCCCACACCACCCACAACCCACATTCTATTTTACGGTTACCTAGCTGCCCCTGACTCCTTTCCCCACTTTCTCCATTCGCCACGGCTTGTCATATGGGGTAGCACTCGGGGATCCGTGGATTCCGATTCATATACAGCCATGTTCCATCTGCATCAAAAGGAAAAACTCTGCCCGAAGCAGGCGAAATCGCTTAAACCGAAGATTTTTTGCCACTGCCGCTGGTGAAGGGGGTTGAATCGGGCAGGAGCGGACCATAAAGGGGGGGCCTGGAGTTGTCCTGGCGATGCGTCTGCTGGCTGCAGGCCCTTTCCTCGCACCCCCACTCCACTGCCCTTCGACCTGCGCATATGTCATAAATGGGGTCTGGGTCCTCTGGCTCCCTGGCAAGGGCAGGGTTGCAAAAGCGAAATGGAAGTGGTTAAGGATACTGCTCTACGAAGGGGTATCACCCACCTACCCTAACCACAGGACGAACCTTTTTTGAACCAGGGTTTAAGTAAATTTATAGATGGTATATCATCAAAATGTAAAAGAAACTCTTATATTGCATTATTTCCTGATCTATCCATCGTATCAATTAACTGATCATATATTTCCAAATATAACAAAAAATATTCCTTAAATCAACAAAAATGCAACCAAAGATCTTTAATGTATAAGTGGGTTTTTAATGTTATAAACAATTTTTGAACGTGGGAAGTTCTAGAACAATAAGATGTTGATAGGAAATCAGTATTTTTGATGTGGTAGCATGAATTATTAAAGGAATCCTTGACTAAACTAAAGAGCATATACTATAAAAGCATATTTATCCTAGAATACTTTAACTCGTAATGCTAGAAATTCCCAAATAATAGTGTATTCAAACTTCAGCTATACCAAGGATCCAAAAAGTGTTCCTTGTTTATTCTTTTATCGGTCTTTCTGCGGCAAGTGCGCTGCAATTGTGAGGCAGTTATAGATACGGATATCTCTCTAAACACACGTACGTGTGTGGCTGTGTGCGTGAGCGGTTGAAAGTGTGCGGTTGTGTCCCTGTGTGTGTGTTTGTGTGGTGTGCGTGTTTTTGGGGAGGTATTCGTGCGTGTTTTTGTTTGGGCCCCCTAACCCCTAAGCTTAGGTTTTTCTATTGAAATTATTTCCATCGATGTATTTCATGTGCCCAAAATGGGCAAAAGGGGGTTAAATTGTTTTGAGGCACGCATAAATTATGGAAAATTGTTGAACATACATAATTTATGGCAGGCAATATCAGAGTAATTCAATAAATGGCCTAGGCCAAATAATTTATGTTCCAGCTCGATCCCGATCGAGAAACCTCAAAAAAGCCCATCTTTGTGGTTTAACCAAAAAAACAGAATGGGAAAAAACATAAATTTCGTGCTTTATCCGGCATTTACAATAATCTAATTCAATTTGAAAGTCAATAATTTATTTTTGACCAGAGTGTCGAGAGTGGAATTAAATCGAAATTTCAATTGAGCCAACTTTCGGGGATAACTCATCGATTTGTTTGTTTTGGTTGTGCTCCATTGTGGTTTTACTATCCCTATAGCCAGTACCATCTCCCCCTATATATACCACCCCCAACATTTTCCTTTTTCCATATCGGATCCCGGAGGCTGCTCACGCCCGGGCCATAAAACTTTTATATCAACTTATGTACACTTACAACGGCCATTATAACGCATTAAACATAAACGCTGTTTCATGGACCTCTCCGTCCTCCTTCCCCTCAGCTTTCCTATCTAATTGCCAATGCCGGCAACTCACACACACTTTGGGCTTGGGACTTTGTACTATGGACTCTGGCCTTCGGAAAAGCTAAGGGGCGGTAATAAATCATTGGCGATGACTGCTGCAGCAACCTCATTGAACATTAAAATAATTGCAGAGCGCAACTTGGCCAATGATTGCGCCCTCCGTGTTCATTAATGATAATTAAAAAAGTTTGTCCATCAGCCGACTGACTGAAGGTAGTTCATTAGAGATAGAGCCTGCTTGTGCTGGAAAATCGGTTTCAGCCAGGATTACCAACACTTCCTTCCGCATCCTTGGATCAGCTTGTTGCAGGCCCTTCGGCGCTTTTGGGCCAAATGCAATAGCATTACCGCTTCGATTGCAGAAGTCATATTTCAGTGCCCGAAAGTAGGCAACATCCAATTGAGGCCTGACTGCTCGGCTCACTCCTGTCGCTCTGCCAAATGTAAACAAACATTTTCCGGAGGAGGAAGGCGGTAAGGGGTTTTCCTGGAAACCCAAAATGCACGTGCAGATTACCAGAGCGGCGAAATCCCTGCGCAGACTCACCAAAAATCGAAGAGAGAGCGTTAGTGTTGAGTTTTTCCCGCAAGCCAAGTTCGCAATGAAAAGTCTTTGTTCACTTTCCCAGCCAGTCAGTTCGTTCGCGTTTTCCGTCGTTGTAACTTGGGGAAGTCCCGTGCTTTCGCCGTTGCCAAAACGGGATTATTCCCAAAAGTCGTAAGAAGTGAGTGAAATTTGCCGCGACTTTGATGGCAGAGTAAAAGTTTACGACCAGCCTAAAAACTTTGGACTCGAAAGTGATCTGTGAAAAAGCTTAAGTACCAAGAACTGAAATCCAAAAGTGTTGAATGAAACATATCCCTCGGCTTTGTTAACTGGATGGCTTTGACATTGGCGCCACATTTGCATCCTGGCAGGTGTAAATATTCATTTCTCTAGCTGGCAAAGTTGCTGCCTGCTTTTAGCATAATTAAGCGCATCGCCACGCCCCCACCGGCCGCCCCCATTATTCACAAAGAACTACGGAAGGACAAAAAACTTGGCCAGAGCCTTGAAACTTTGAAGAGCAGCCGCCAGTCAAAGCAGCTTTAAGGTCCTGTTTTGTGTTGCCCTCCTCACAGGATCCGACGAGCAGGCGAACTGCATGGTAAGTGGCGAGCACCTTCCTCCTCCGTTTTGGCCAAGTTAGCAGCTTGTTTATAGTTGGTTAATTGAAGCCCAGGGTAAAGTCCGAGAAACTTAAATTGAATACTGCACTTACCAGACTTAATTATGCAGCGCCGTGGGAATTTATCTCCAAAAAAAGAAAAGAACCATAAAATGAACAAGAAGCTCCAATTCAATGAGGATTATTGGGCCATGCTTCAGAAGTCAATTCCTTACACTGCCACTACAGCTTTCCCCGACAAATCTCCTAACTACAATAGTAATCTCTCTATCACAATTTCCCAGTTTCCTTGTCTCGCTTCAAAATCGAAAAGAAACTTGAATGGCTTAAGTGATTTAGCAACTCGATCGCATTCGTTTGCGCATTTCGATGCTAATGCAGTGAGAAAAATTATTAATACTTCATAGGAAAAGATAAAATTGACAAGCTTGTAAGAAGAGAAACGCACATTTCATTATGTATAAATTGATTTGTTTTCTTTTTGTTTACTTTAAATTATAGCATAATGTCTTAATTGTTTTATATTAAAAGGATTTTTGAATTTTGAAGATCTATACTGTTATGGTTTTAGAAACAAGACAATAACTCATTAATTTACATAGCTTAAAATTCTGAAGATGATACGTTTAAAAAAAAAATCAAACATTTCTGTTTGAAAGTTCACTTTTTAAATCGTTATATACGCAGCTTGGTGCCTAACTAAGATCATTTTGTTGGAAAGTTTCTTGTTTCAAAGTCCACTATTTTTCCCGCAGTGTTATATCTTAGCACGATTTTTTCTTTTTCCAATTCGGGTCGGGAAACGTTGCCTACTTTCGGGCACTGGGAAAAACTTTTTAAGTGCCAAAGCAAAAGGCGCCGAATTAAATTAAAAATGGGGAATGGCACGAAAAGGAATATCGGCTCGTGTGCAAATAAGAGCGAAGGGAACTCGGCTTCAAATTCAATTTGAGGAGTATAGTCTCCGCTTTCCCTTTCCAATTTTCCCTCCCCGAACTTAACCCCCAAGAAAACCCCTGCCCCAACAATAGTTAAGCGGAAATGTAAGTCCCCGGGGGCAAAGGCATCACGGAGCCTTGGAAGTGTGTCAAAGTACGTAAAGCTGGCGAGGGAATCAATCGAATCGAAGCGAATCGAATGGCAAGGAAGCGGCGTTGAAGGCGAGGCGAAAAACCAAACAGCCACGAGCCATAAAAATGGGCCAAAATGAGTGGGTGAGACGTCAAAAGAAATTGAAATGGAACTCGAGCAAAAACTACTTTGTTTGCGATTAGCACTTGGCTTGGATTATGGGCAAAGGGGGTTTGAGGAGGCTCAGAAGGGCAGAATGGCAGAATGGCAGGCGTTTGCCAAGAGGAAATGAAATGTGTGTCAATATATTGATTGAATAATGGTCTACATATTGACAAACAACTCAAAAGGGCACTCGACAGAGCCAGACTAGAGACGCAGCCCAGTCAGTCAGCCGGAAGAGAGTCGCAGTGACAGCCTCGGGGGGAACAGGAAACGGAAGTTACGCACACACGCACACACACTCAGACCCAGACTCACAGGGACACTCGCCTGCGAAAGCTGTCGAATCGGCAAATGCAAAGTGAGACATCAAAAGCATTTCGAGTGCCTCGTCATCAATGTAAAGCAGCTGCTGGCATCCCAGAAATATTCGGACGGAGTCGGAGATATAGAACTCGATCCCCAAGACGAAGATGCTCCCCAGACGAGAAAGGGAAAGGGAAAGCGGAGGGAAAGGGGCGTTGGGTAACACGTGTTCCTTTAATTAGATAAAGTTTGTTTGCATTACAAACATACTGGCAGCAATTTGCCTCTGTGCTCGGTTGTCGATGGCAACGCCAAGTTCTTTTCTCGCTTTTTTCTCAGCAACTCCCCCACTTCTTAAGGGGGGCTGGAAAATTCCCCCGGCTCGGAAAAATTCTGGAGCATGATTGACAGACGCACGTCTAGTCAAATAAAAATGGCACATGGCAATAGAAATAAAAAATAAAATATGCCAGCAACTTGGTCGCTCTGTGAATATTTATGTAAATAATTCCATTGAATGGTGCAGTGCTCATTTGGGCGACGTTTTCCGCAGAGTTTTCGCAGAGTTTCCGCTGCGTAAATATTTGAATGTTTGGCTGCTTATTTATTTCCTTTGTGGCCATTCTCGCTTTGAGCCAAAGGAACTTACAAATTTCTTCAAAACTCATTCAGATTTCCCGATACAACTTAGGGCATTCATTATGTGGCCTCATTAGCCCGCAAAGAGGGCGAAAATTACTCAATGGCACTTTGAGCTGCTGCAAATCCCACATAATTTGCGAGGTAATATGAACTGCATATTTAACGAGCCCAAAGAAAACACTTACGAAATCCCCACAAAAGGCCTTTTGCGAATTCAAGGCTTTCTTCCGCCCCTTTCTTCTGGGTTCTCTCTTTCTCCCTCGCTTTGTTTGTTGTTCGGTTGGGGGATTGTTGTTAATTAAAAGCTCACAAAAGTAGGTAACATGCATATTACACACACTCACTCACTTTCAATTGTTGCACATACGTATTAATTCGGCCAGAATGCCTTGATGTGTGTGTGTGGGGCTTCCTCTTCCTTCGACACAACAATGAAATGGCGACCATTGAGAATGATAACAATGAAGGCCAGCACTGCACATAAACTTGCCAAACAAACAACAAGGAAAGTGCGCAACAACAACAGCAACGGCCACAATGAAACACACTAACACAAATCTTTATTTAAGCATAGCACAAAACACAAAAAAGTAGGAAAAAAGAGCCGCAGAAAGAAACCAATTCAATGTTGGAAGCCCACAAACACAGTGAAGCCCTGAAAAGAAGAATGGTGGAAGGATGATAGAAGAAGGGCCGGAAGAGAGGGCCAACGGGGTAGCGAGTGAAAAAATTAGAACAGTCAAGCGCCTCGGGATATGCAACACATAAAACTTGCCAGCCAAGCTGGAAAAGCGACTTCAAGAGCCTTCAACTTGCCCCACTCTCGCGCTTAAATGGGTGTTGCACTGGGAGAAATGTCGCACAATCGGGGGACCATTTTAGAATTCTTTTTAGTTAAAGTAGCACCATTTAAAATTCTTAAATATTCCATCTTACTGCTACTCTTGCCAGAACTGATAATTATCCCATGTAAAAGTACTATACTTAAAGGAAAACCTTAAGTCTTAAAAATTACAATTAAATATTCGAAGAATTTTAGCCAGACTTAAGTTCTAGTAATCTAACTCGAAGCCTAAAAGCTTGCAATATAATAAATGTTACCATCTTAAAGAAATCAAATTAATGTTAATTAATTTAAATTATTTTTTAAAATATGTAGAACATGTTTAAGAACATATGTATCCATCGGGCTTCCGACTTATATATTTGCCCAAATTTACTCAGATTAGCAGTGTTTTCATTAATCTTTAAAAATTTGAAAACAATTTTAAAGGTGTCTAAAAGTATGCAATATAATTTTAATTATCAAATTTGAGAAGTCTGCATAAAAGGTGTCCAAAAAATGGTTCTCTGGAAAATATAAAGTCGTTTTAAGCATTGTTCCATCCGTTTAAAATTACAAATGAAATTATTGCCTATATTTACGCAGATTTATAGAGGTTTCACAAAAATCTTTTGATATTACACAATTTCATAAACTATCTTAAAGAATGTCATGCAATATTTCGTTTTTAAATGATATATTAAGTGAACAAAAAATATTCTACTGCATTTGGAGTTATATAGTAAATGTGGAATTGTATTTTCAAGATGTATCTTTAGAACAGTCGTATTTTTCTGCCAGTGCTCTTGCTGTTGTGTCAGTGCCATTGCAGCAGTCAACTGGATGGCCAGCCATTTCCGTTTCGATGTCTCCCGTTTAGTCGGATGGCAGTTAAGCCATTCCCTTCCACTCGATGCCAGTTTAAACTTGGCTCGGCACGGCCTACACACGCACACGAGTTCACGTACTCGATTTTCCCCCCTGTGTGGCAAAGTTTTCCCCAACTCCTTTGGGCCGAAAGCAAAGGCAAAGGGAAAATGAAAAGAACCAGTAGAGGAAAATCGAGAGAGGACGAGGCTGCCAAAAACTTTGCATCGCAAACTTTTCTGCATATATTTTCCACAAAACGGATGCTTGTTTTTCATGTCTGCTGGCTTATTTCGTTTTGGGGTTTTCCATTTTTAGGTTTTATCCCCCTCTCAGCCCAAACCAAACTGAACCCCCCGCCGGCGGGCATATTCACTTAGAAAACCTCTTTCCATCCTGCCCTACCGATTTCAAATGCTTTAATCGCAATTTATCAAATTGGAAGAGGCCGAGTCGGGCTGAAAAGTTTCTGCCTTCGAAATTGGGGCATTGTAAGCGTTTAATTTGTCAGCCATTTGCTTAGTTAAAAGTTTTTCATTTTCCATTTGCATTTGCAGTTGCTACATGCCTGGCTTTTTTCTGGGAATATTTCAGGGTTTTATTTCTCGATCAGCAATAAAACTGAAAGTCCGCACATGAGATATTGCATTGATTTATACATATTTTTTGGGAAAGAGACTGGTCAGTAAGGTTGACAAGAAATATGCTTTTTAACCATTTCGAAGGATAAGTAAAAGCGAACAAATATTCCGGTTATGGAACAATTTTAAAGTGCCTTTGGTAAAAATGCAAAAATAACTCGGAATTTTAGTTATTCTAGCACAGCATTGAGCTTTAGTGCACTGAAAGCTGGTAAAGTAGTTTTGATTTCATTCATTTTATTAGTTAAATTTATTTAAAATCAAATACAAAATATTAAAAGAATTTAAATATTCAATTTGATAACAAAGTGAGATGGCCCAATATTCAGGCATGCAGTTACATTTGTTTTTGTGGTTTCAAAACTAGACAAAGTTAAATTATTTAAATGGAAATAAATCACATAAGCAAAAAATCGATGAGTTTAGCTTATAATTAAAAAACAATTGTTGGCCTTTGTTGTACCATTTGTAATATTACAAATTGACCGTTGGTAATTAAATTTGTTTTGTTACTTTTTTAGGATATCCCAGCATGTAACCACCTGATGTGGATCAAAGCGGAGCGATGAGGCGTCGGACGTTTTCCACCGCCGCAGCATGTCCTTGTCGGAACGGAACACACCCAGCCATGGGCAGGGAGCGGGGGCAGGAGGGGGGTCAGGCGGATCGGGCGGTACGCACCGCCAGCGACCGCCGGACGTGGAGGAGGCTCTGTCCTCCATGCTGTGGACCCCCTACGAGCGCACGCCCCTGCCCAGCTCCTCGGAGGAGGAGGCCGAGGAGGAGGACGATGACGAGCGGCTCAACCGGCAGCTACGCAAGTCGCACAGCAGCTACGAGGCCTCGGCCTTGAACCACCCCCACCACGCCCATGCCCTCCCCCTTTTCGCCCACCACCACCACCAGCCAACCCTGGACAGCGGTTCGCCCCTGCTCCTGCCCCCCGTGCCTTCGTTTCCCCCATTTAGTTTAAGCGCCTTCGATGCGGCCATCGCTGGCTTCGATCACCTGGCCAAGGTGGGCTTCTCCTCGAGCGGAGTGGGCAGGCGGAACCGCTACTCCTTCCCCGCCTACCAGGGCAGCCCCTCCCGCACCCTGACCCAGTGGTGCTCCTCGGCCGCCACTTCGATCAAGGAGCCACCCTCCTACGAGTCTCTGTACACCGTCTCCAGCTCAAAGGTTGGAGCTACTCCTCCTCCCGCATCATCACTGATTCTCAAATCCAGTGGGGAAGTGGTAGGGGGTTCCGAACCATGTGATAGATCGCAACGATCGCCAACAAAAGCAGCAGCAGAGGGTCAGGATCGGGATGAGACCAGATCCAAGGCTGCTCCACTAACGGCTAATGTTCCCGCTGGATTGGGTCTAAGGCGCTCCTTCACGGATGACTACATTTCGCAGGTGAGTTCTATAATCTTCTAATATAATTGAAAGGGTTCTTAACAAAAATAAAAAATAAAGTGCGACCTGGTTCCCATTTAATATGCACTTAAACCTTGAAGAAGATTAAAATTGCCTTGTTAAAATGGAACCCCTTTTATAGATACCATTTAGCAATCACCTGGCACCCTGCCTAGGTGAAAATGGAATACCTTTTACCAGCGTAAGACCCCCACCCCCCCATCGATACTTTCAGCTGCTTAATGGAGCACCATCAAAATTGATGTCAAGGGTTCAACACACAAAATACTTGGCGCCGTCAATGGGAAACTGTGGGACTCAAGCGCGAAATGGGAGCGCCAAGTCGAACTGTCGCCTTATCGGGCCCATTGACAGCCCCATACTCCGTACCCCCACCCCCATTCCATGGCATACCGAATTATGCACCCCGCACCGCCCTATTGTAACCCCGATAAGGGCTAATGCTTCACTTAGGCCCTTAAGTGCCGCTAGCATCCCTCGCAGATAAGCGCCATATGTTGCCTATCAGTATCGAACATTGGACCGCAAGGGGGCGGCTGTGGTCTATGAGACCGAGGGGGGCGTGGCTTTGTTTCCACATATTAAATTTTATATGCAATATGCATAAAGAACGGCATAAGTACTCGCACATAGGGGCTCGCATGTGGCTGTGTTTTCTGTGCACACTTCATAATTTGTTTATGTGGCGTCAGCGAAACGGAAAATTGACCGCACAAAAATGACAAACAAAGCACAAAGGCGGTGGGCTACAAAATGGGGAGGGGAAAAGTGCATAACAATGGTTTCACAAAAGGGGGATGGGGCAGGGGGGTGCAGGTTTCAGGGGGAAAAACAAAAATATCAGTTTTCATTTCGGGAAAACTTATTATACTATCAAAATACATAAAGTCATATCAATGGCATGAAACACCACATAAACACCACACGCAATAAAATTAAACGCTTTGGGTTTTTGTGAACTTATAGTTTTTTGCATGGCAGTTTTGAAAAATTAAGTGATATACTTGTATTAAAAAAATATATTGAAATAAGAGAATGATTTGTTTAACTTTCCTGCTACATATATAATTTTAGATCCCCTGTGACATTTAATAATAATCCCTGACACTGTGGATTAATCTGCTTTCTCCGAATGAAGTATTCTTCATGTTCCCAAAGTTCTGTTGTTTCTAATCCAATTATACTATCAATACATAAAGTCATATCGATGGCATGAAACACCACATAAACACCATATGCAATAAAATTAAACCCTTTGAGTTTTGGTGAACTTGTAGTTTTTTGCAAGGCAGTTTTAAAAGTTAAGTGATATATGTACTCGTATAAAAAAAATATATTGAAATAAGAGAATGATTTGTTTAATTTTCATGCTATAAATATAATTTTAGATCCCCTGTGACATTTAATAATAATCCCTGACACTGTGGATTAATCTGCTTTCTCCGAATGAAGTACTCTTCGTGCACCCAAAGTTCTGTTGTTTCTAATCCAATTCCACTGTCAATCTCTTCACGGCTGGCCGAACTTAATAAGCAATGACAAATGGCTTAAAGCAAGCTCCTCTTCTTCTTCTTCTATATGTTTTTAACCCTCTGCGCCCCACTTATTTTCCCGGCACATATCTCTGCTTATGTGCGTGGCTTGGACGACTGACTCATGACGAGAGGTTTATGGGCAAGAAGTAATAAAGTTGCCAGCGCTTTTCCACTGGCAAGCACCGTTAGCCGGGGATGAGTTTCGGTTTTTCGGCACCCCTTCCCGAGGAACCCCTCTCGCTTAACCCATGTTGCCGCTGGCTGTGATTGCAACGCACTCGACGGCAACGCAATCACAGTGCACAAGACTGAGCAGCATTAGAACAATAAATTTTGGAGGGGGGGTCGAGCCAACAGTAAATCACATTATATTTCTGTGACGTAATTAATGCAAGTAACACAGCGTAACATAATTAGAACCCACACACACACAAGAACAGAATATACGCATGGCTTTTAACCCACATCATGTCGATGGGGTTTGGGATTGGGATTGGGATTGGGTTCGGGTCTGGGTTTTGGGATAGGGACCAACAGCTTTATCAGCACATCGCAGGCGGCAGCAGCAGCCACAGCACCACCAGCAACAATTACTTGTGACGGTTTTATGTTTATGCGTTGGCTTAATTAATTCAATTAAGCGCACATTTATGCCCCAACCGAAGGATCCCGCTGCCACCACCTTTTTGGCGGGAAAATGCGAGGGAAAATGAGACTGTAAGACTGGGGTAATCCCCCAGCAATTAGCATTAATTACGAGTTGAAACTTAAATCTTGTCATTCGGTATATGCAAAAACTTGACTCGATCTCTCTTTCTCTTTCTGTCACTCTCCCGCAGAATTGCGCTCCATTCACGCCAGCAACTGTATTGCAGCACGGCAGCAACACTGAGACAACAACGGCAACGGAAACACAAAGCCCAGCAACGAATGCGAGATCACAACAAAGCGAAGAAAACCCAGGCAGCAGCGCAGCGAATTGCATTATCAATGAACAGATTGCAACTGCAGCAGCAACACCAACAGCAGCAACAGCAGCAGCAGCAACAGCAGCGGCAGCGGCAACATCGGGAGGGAATGAGGAAACCAGCTCAGTGGCAGTGCAGGTCACTCAACCTGTTTCCTGTGCCGCCAGAGAGCGAAGAGAGCCGCTGAGAGCCAGCAACACGCCATCAGCAGCAGCAGCAGCAGCAGCAGCAACGCGAGCAGGCAGCAACACGAGCCACGCGAGCAACACCAGCGACGGCAGCAACATCGGCGGCGAGAGCTCGGCGATCAGTCTCTCGGCAACTTTCGGCGGGCCAACAACGAACGCGAGCAGCAGCAGCAGCAACCGGAATTGCTACTACGCAGGTAGCAGCAACTATCGCCCACTGTACGACAGCAGCAACAGTAGCAGCGTGCTGCGACCCAACAAATGTTTGGCAGAACTCGAGCGTCTCTATGCCGAATTTCGCGCGAGTGAAAGCAGATTCGAGCGCGGTCTGAGCCAGTTGGACATTGAAAACGCCAACGAAATGCGTCTGAATGTGCCAGCCACTGCGGCAGCAGCAACTGTTGCAAGTAGCAATACCAGTAGCAGCAGCAGTAGTGTTTTCCTCAATGTGTCCGGCAGCAGCAGCACCGACAGCGGCGACAATCAAGCCGTAGACGAGGCCAAGACCATCAGCAACATTGCGGTGCTGCCAGCAGCAGCAACAGCGACTTCCAAGTCCTGCCAGCGACAGCCGAGCCTAACGATCCAGGTGAACAACAACGGCAACACTAACGGTAACAATAACGGCAATCGCGTCTCGGTGGCTTCGCCCACGAGCATCGTCAACAACAACAACGGCGTGTGCGTTGTCAACTGCAGCTACACCCCCAGCAGCAGCAACAACAGCAACTCAAGCAACACCAGCAACACGAGCAACAACAATAGCGTGGTTGAAATCAATAATTGTGTGCCAGCAGCCAAAGTGTTTAGTGCAAGTGTTCAAAATAAGCTAAATAATAATATTAGCCCCCCGAGCGGGGAACAGCAACATGTTGCTGCTAACACGGCCAGCAATAATAATCATGTGCAGCCAGATAACAGTGTGAATATAATCAATGTGAATGCCAGCAATAGCAACAGCAACAGCAGCAGCAACAATAATAATAATAATAATAGCAGCCACCCACGCACCTTCACCTCAACGGAATGCCAAACGGATGACCTGACAGCCAGTACATCATCATCATCAGCCAACCTGCAACAACAGCAGCAGCAACAGCAGCAACATATCCGGACACGCGAGCAACGCCGCAAGGAGCGAAGGGAACGTCGGCAGCAGCAGCAGCAACAACAGCAATTTCCGCAGCCCCACCACCCGCGACGCCATCCGCCTCCACCTCCTCCGCCCCAACTGCACCCACCACCCCATCTGCACCACCCACATCCCCACCCACTGCCCCATCCCCATCCCGCCGCCATGGGATTGGCCCGCGCCCTGCTGCCGGACATCCTGCACGCCCACTACCCGCCGCCCTACACCGCCCTCTCCGTTCCCGTGCCCCTGACCGCTGCTGCCCCGCCCCCACCGCCTCCGCCGGCTGCTGTTGCAACGGCGGCACAGGGGCAGCAGCCACATGCTGCTTCACAGGCGCCTCCGCCGGCGCTGACGTCCGTGATATCGACGGTGCCACTGCCGGGTCCGCTGCCAGCGCCCCTCATGAACGACGGACGCTTCACGCTGCCGCTGCCCATCATGCGCAGGTGAGTTCCGTTGCGACCCCAACTTCCACTCGGAGTGGAATCTCTGCCCATTCTCCAATCCCCGAGAGCCACTCTCACCCCATCCCGGACAGCATCGATCACTCATCCGACCCGTTACGTTCGACCAGGCACTCCTTTGTCGTCTTTGGCCAGTCTCGAATTTCGTTTCCCTTACCGGGTGAAAAGTGCACTCAGGAAAATGGGGGTTGGATTGCAGGGAAAATCGAATTTCATGACCTCTGTACATGTCGGCCATAAATCTTTTTACAAAGTCCTAGAACCTAAAATTACTGAATTTGTTTATTTAATGGTTCTTAAATGTGTTATATTACCAAAATGGGTATTTTACCAAATCAACAGAGTTAGGGAGACTGCGAGTAATAGAACTGAAATATCATGTTAAGATATAACATATTATTTTAATGGTTCTTAAATGAGACATATACCAAATTATCGATTTCAGTCAAATGTTAGAAGTTGTAATCCTTTCTACTGAGTTAATGAAATTATGGTATATTACTGTATAATCCTATATGAGATATTATGTTACCATACAGTAATGATATATTGTTCGGCTCAAGAGTTTAATATTTTTTTTGCTCAGATTCATGAGTTTAACAAAGATGGACATGAACCTATTCATACAGAACTAATTTCTCATTTCCCGTCCTTGGCTAAAACCCATGCAAATCACATTTGACTTCCAAAATTCTCGGTATTTTTCGCAGTGTCCATTTCGACATTTTCTATTACCACATACTGGCTTTTGTGCCGCTCTTCCTGCTTCGCTTTCGAGTGTTCGTATTCGTGTTCGTGTTAGACGGGGCCAGACATTATAATGATGGTAATTTTTATGTCAGTAACAAATTTCTTGCATGATTTGATTCTCCACCTCTGCGCTAGACCAGGAAACCAGGTTCAGATCCAGGTTCAGGTCCAGGCCGTGGTGTAAAAATTAATTCTCAACGTTGACAGCTTCCAAGAAATTAACGAAAAGTGGATAGAGGATAGAGCCAACGACGAGTGGCTTCAATTTAAAGTTGGGGCCATTACTCTCGTCCAGTTTTCGGCGAAAAGTTTTGGGTTCTTCAGTTTGGGGGCTTTAATAACTCATTTTTATTATAATGAGTTCGGGCTTATCTTTAATTGCACATCTAGCGCCGCAGCTTGGCTTTGTCCTAGGCTGACTGGCCATAATTCTGCGATTCAGCCCGGATCGGAATCGGAATCGGACTGGCCTAGTCGCTTTCCCACGCATCTATTGCCTGGAACACTGAGACACTTATCTATAGTTGGGCACTGGCAGAACCAGTTTGTTTGGCATCGCCATCGCCATCGTCGCACAAATAATCGATGCCGCGTGTACTCGAACTTGTATCTCCGCTTCGCCATTTGTATCTGTATCTGCTTCGGTTTCTGTTTCTGTTTCTGTGCCTGAGTCCCCTAATATAGCCGTATCTGACGGATGCGCGCGCTATCTGTCTAATGGGCTGCCTAAATGTCTTGAAAAACAACTCGAACTCAACTCCCACTGTGAACGTTTGACATTTTGCGACAGCAGTTGCTCCAGTCAAGAGCAAATCGTGTTTCACAATTTTAATTGTGTTTGCCCATTGAATAATTGCAAAACTGTGTCGCCCCAGAATAATCTATTCTTTGTCTAAATTGGAGGCGTGTTCGCCGGCTGATTAGCATATTTATGAGTGAGTCAAAGTTGGGCCATTAAATTAATTGTTTCTACCTGAAGGTGAGGTGATTATTAAAGCACAAGTCTGATTAATCATATATGTACTCTCTTAACTAGATCTAGAATTTTTTTAGCTCATAAATTCAGAATTAGATTTAATCTACATTCTAAGTACATCATTAAACTTGTTGGTGGTATCATTATATAAATGGTTTTTACAAGTTTGATACAGCTGAAGATGAATATGCATATATTCAATTATGTAGACATTCAGTTCATATATTAAGTTCTGAGATTTCATAAATTACTGGTAAGATTTAATTCAATGAATATACATATATTTACTCATGTATTAAGTTCTCATATTTTCCAAGTTAAACTTTATTCATGGTTAGATTTAATCCAATAATCAAGGTCTATTCATAACCACCTCCTCCCAAATAAGATATTCCGCTCAAAGCTGCTTAGGTTACCTTCTCGAGCCAAAGATTCCCAGATAATTGGGTCGCTTAATAGAGATCCCTGAAATCGGGGATGCTGTTCACACATCCCTCAAAGAAAGGGTTTATGTACCAAAAACCCAGAGAGAGAGAGCGAGCTCAAACAACAAACCGCAGACATTATCTGCAATTTTAACACCTTCTGCCTTCGTCCCAAATTAACATGCTCTTACACAACGCTTTTTTTTACTCTACTCCACCTTTATTTTTACCTGCCCAAAAAGGTGTAAAAAAAGCGAAAGTTTTTCTGCCCCAAGTTTTTGAGGGGGAATAAAGGGAGGCAGGAGCACTTTGCGCCGACCAGGAGTAAAAGGGTCGCCTGGTGGACCGTGTATAATCTTTAAATCATTAAATAACCGAACGAGAAAAACTCAGCCATTTCAGCCAGCAGTGAACCCGAAATGAAAAATGACAACAGCAACGGCAAAGGCAAAAATAACAAATTCAGAGGGCAATAAAAAGGAAACGTGATGCCGAACTCACGTATAAATCGTTGTAATCATTTTTTTGTTTACTGTCTCTTTTTTTTTCTTCTGTTTTTCTTAGCATTTAATTTTATTTTGAAACTCCGCCAAAGACGAAGCCAAAAACAAAAGCCAAGTTAACACACAGAGAGCGCGAGAGACTGAGACAAGAAAGGCGGTAATAAAATCACTTGAGACAAACGAGAAGCGGGATGAGAAAGAGAGTCACTTTCACTTTCGCATTCGTGTTTTTTTTTGTGTATCTGTATCTGTATCTGCATCCGAATATGAATCTGAATCTCTGCTCCCTGAGGTTAACCCAGGCCAAATGGCCAACAGCTTATCATAAATTTGGCTTTAAGTTACCCAGGCACTCACTCATAACCGAAATGAACTCGAACTTGGGGCATAAATCAAAAACAATTTAGTTAACATCATTTGGACGCGTGTTTCTTTTATTAATTATGCCGCAGCGGCTAATTGCTAATTGAATGGATGGATGGATGGATGGATGGTGAATATGCCGAGATGAGATGACACTGAAATGGGTCCTGTTCACTGAGGAGGAAACCAGTTTGCATGGCGAGTGCCAAATTCAGAGTCCAAATACCTCGAAAAACTGGCTAAAATAAACAGGCATTTGCATTCGCATTTGGCGGCGAGGAGAGGTGCAAAAGTATCTCGATATCGACATCGATGATTCAACTTCAGCCATGCAAATGGAAAAGAAACAGAAACAGAATCAGAAACAAAACAGTGAGAGAGACGGCAATACAGGGACAGAAAGAGACAGCTGCAGACAGGCAGAAAACCAGATTTCAGCCGAAAACAACAAGAAATATCGAGAAACATAAAACCAGGCAAGATCGAGTTGCAAGCCCCGAGTCGAGACCAAAGAAAGACGCTCGGCGATCTTGGCTGGGGATGCTATTCTGCAACTTTTGGCTTGGATGACACACTTTTCCGCAGCTGGAAAATTGAGTGATTTTTCCATAAATTTTCATTCGCAAAATTCGCAGCTCGGCAGCGAGAAAATCACAGCCCAAGAGCCACAGCTCGACACTAAATGTTGTGGCTGTCTGTTGTCGGTGGTTGTTGGTAGAACTGACCAAACAACTTTCCAGTTTTACGGTCTTGCAACTGCCATCGTCTGTCCTGCTCCCACATCCTGCCATCCTGCTCCCTCTTGCCACATGGTCTTTCACTGATTCGGCGGCGTTGGGTTTATTTATTTTTATAAGCGAATAAACACAGCCAGCAATCACGGGGAGTTTACTAACCGACTGAAGGGATACCCTGCCCTTTGCATTTGGAGGATGTCCCTCCGACCACCGAAATATCCACTAGAAACTTGTCGCCCGTCCAAGAAGCTGGCCACAAAACGAATCGAAACGAAACGAAGTCAACCGGGAAGAGAACTTGCCAAAAGTCAATAAAGCCAATAAAGCAAAAAGTTGCCATTCTCCATGGTATGGGTTAAGGGGGGAACTTGCTGCACAGACAAAATAATGGTACAATAACTATTATGCTATTACTTTCCTAGGTTTTTTAGGAGGTTCTTTGATACGTTATAACACTTTTCCCTCACGAGTTTGCATCAGTTACCCTTATAGCATTAGTATTCTTTCCTTACATTTTAAGTAGTATCTTTTAACCACAACTTTAGCATTATTGTTTTGAACTAATATGAATTTTGAATTAAATCGTAAATAGTTTATACATCATTTACCAATATTTAATTGTAAAATAAATACATTTCGATTGATAATTGTCTATATTATTGTTGTGACTATATAAGAAGGAGGTCGAAAACAGATTATGATTTGTATGTTTATTCATTCCCCTTCATTATTGTTGAAATTAATTGACATCAGTAGTGTTGGAAATACCATATATCCTTTAAAAAAAATTTTAATATTTTTAGAAGTACTTTTTCTGTTAAAGACAAGGTTTTCCTATTAAAAGACCTACCGCATTTGATTTTTCTCTATGTGTTCTGGCCATACCCATGCCCAACCGAGTTGCGGTTGTCTGCTGCAGCTCCGTCTGTTTCTGCCTCAGCTTCTGGCTCTGTCTGTGTTTGTGTTTGTGTTTGTACAGAAAATGCATTCGGGCCAAGTTGAAATGAGCCGGCAAAATGCAGCAGCAACATCAGAAGAGGTAGCAGCAACATCACAAAATAGACGGGCCAAGTCGCAAACAAGTTGCCAACGAAATAGAGAGAGTTGTCGGGGATGGCCAAAGGGCCAAAGAGACGGCCCAATCTTCTGGCTTATTAAATTGTCACCCGAGTGCATTCGATTCGATTCGATTGGATTCGCTTTGGCTTTGAGGCTGGGCCTCATTTCG